TTTATTAATTTTTCTAGAGCACCTGTGCTGGTTGCCCTTGCACTTATTGAATGTGGAATGAAGTATGAGGATGCAGTGCAGTTTATAAGACAGTAAGTATTGAAACAGTTACCTCCTTTCTTAATTCAAATGGTTTTCTGAAACAGTGCTTAGAATCCCTTTGGATTTGATTCAGAAGCCATGTTTCAGAATGAAGAATGTTCAACTTCATCCAGCATTTGTTAGGATTCTGCCACATAGTCTGTTGAAGGAGACATGGCTGCCTTAATGAGTTGCAGACAGAGACGGCTGCCTCTCTTTCAGTATAGGATTGTTCTGATGTTAGAATAATTCAAATAGTCTGCTGCAGTGAAGTATACAGAGATATTTTATAATCTATTGCAGTGCAGGAGTAGTAAACTAAATACTGTCATGTAAAAGTTGGTAAGGAACTGAAAATGAGCCATAAAAAAGAACATTCCTGCTAGCTTGAACAAAGTATCAAGGGATAATGTTGGTATTTGAACAACATTTTGTGACTAATTAATATATTCTGTGCTTTTGTTTAGGAAGCGACGTGGAGCTTTTAACAGCAAGCAGCTTCTCTATTTGGAGAAATATCGTCCCAAAATGCGTCTCCGTTTTAAAGATTCAAATGGTCATCGTAACAACTGTTGTATTCAGTAAAAGCAAAGCTGCTTTGATTTGCTGCTTTGGAAGACTAAAACTAGAATTGGGCAGGTTACATGGGAAAACTACATGTATGTCTAACTAGATTACATGAAGCTTCTATAGGTATAGGCCACAATGTTGGCAGGGGAGCAACTTTGTTTAGATGATCTGTTTAGATAACAAATGTACATGGCCTTTTAAAATGTCTTACTGTATGTATCATTAAATTATCCTTAATCATGTAGTTCAGTTTTTTTTTCTTGAAGTCCCAATAGTTATATCTATCAGAACATGTATAGAGATTAGGTGCCAAATGCCCAATACACTATTTCTGTATACCACCGTGTAATAACCCAGTAACTACAACTATATGGACCTTTGCCCTCTTCCTAACTATCTTCTGATTTGGTGGATAGGGCTTCATAGAATAATCTGCCTATTCACTGTTTGTCTCCCACAGTCGCACTATGATGATATCAGGATTTGCACACAATTTACTGACTTAGTCAGTTTTGGTGTCTAAACTTTTATTACTTAAACCCTCTTTCACAAAACATTCTCTGGTTCTTAATGGAAAAGTAATATGTCACGCTGTACAGAAGCACACAAGTCTTTAATGACTCCAGACAAAAAGCCTTACAGTTAAATATATATTGGCACTTAATGTGCAACTTTAGTAGAAGGCCTATAAAAGAATGGGAGGGGACTAATTAATATTTCTAGTAAAATGTTGCCTTTTGTCTTGTGCAGGAAGTATAGAATATGCTCTTTACTTTAGTAAATATTTTTTTAATGTAGAAATGCTTTATTGTAGCTGAAAATTCTTAATCATATTTCTGAAGATCTTGTAATTTCTTTTAATGTACTTATTGGAAGTTTGTTTATCAACTATTGCTTTGTTGAAGGTGATTTTGTTTTTTCTTGAGTTTCTGCCATGAATTTGGTGGATCTCTGTAATATTTTGTATGCCTTTTGAGCTGCGTAACTTAATATTTGGATACTTGATAATTTGTTATGTAATTGATAAAATGGTGGTGTGTATTAATGTTCAACCATATATTTATACTGTCTTGGGAATGTGTGGTTATAGTACTGTGGGAGAAATAATTTGCCAGTGTTCACCAGCTTGTAAAATTTAGTGCGAGAGCTCAAATATCTAAATAAAGTCAAACCTGCATTGCAATTTCCTTAATTTTTTTTTTTTTGTAACGAGGAAATAGACGTTTATCGAAATTTTGTTCTGGAGTTCTTCAAATGAGAAACGTAATGTAAGAAAGATATCAATCCTCCTGTGAATGTTTTTATATGCATGATTTATTTTTCTAATGCAGAATTTCTTTTATTTCCATTTAAGTGTACACTGGACTTTTAAAAAGTATTCTTAACAGTGCTGAAATTGGCCCATACAATTTTTCTGTTAACTTGCTATTCCTGCAGGACGGCCAGTTTGGAGTATAGGAGGTTCTCCTCACTTTAACAATAATTGGAAACCAGAATTTCCATTGCTAAGTGATGCAATTGTAAAGCCTGACATCCTGTGTTCGTATTGTTTAGTGACAGCAGTTCCCATTGTAGTCGTTAAGGGAAGATTGTGGGTGAATTTTTTTTAATTACTTCTTGAAAAGGCCTCAAATTTTAAATGCCATTTTCTTTGTCACAGAGTAACTTTTCTAATGCATCTGAATATATAAAATGCTCTCACAAATAGACATAATCAAATCACTTTCCACTTAAGCTACAAGACAGCAAAAGAATTGCAGTGCTATAGCCACTTATATAAGGAACTGTTACTCTCCAAATGCTAGTTTCTTTCTAGAGGATCTGCCTCTCCCTATCATTCTTTTATCCTATGTTTTGCCATGTCTTCAGGACTGTTTCCGACATCACATTGTTGAACTCTTTGCAGTTGCTTAATCTGGCAGAAACATTTTTAACAGCATAGTTTTGTCATTAATGTGAAAATGCAGCTTTCAAGGGAGTTGTCTTAAACATGGTGTGTAGTCATTGAATGTTAGTTCCACAGTGTAGACATTTTCACAAAAAGGACAGTCTCCAGTCAAAACAATTTCTTGCCATTGCAACACAGTGATGGTGATGCCAAATGGACTCATAATGTTTTGAATCTCTAGGATGTACAGGCGATTTATTAGATACAGAAAATCACATTACTGCTTATTCCTGAAATGATTCTGGTGGTACAGTACAATTACACTGGTAGCAGCAGCTCAGCCAGAATGATATTGTGCGGGCAGAAAAATGTTTACATTCAATCTATTTTTCACCTTTTGCTCTGTGCGAAGATTTCTGAATGATGTTTGTAATTTATGCTAGCATTTTGTATTGTGTTTATCCTTGGACCATATTCTGTTCCCCATAATCCCAATTTGCTGTGAAATTAGTTGAAACTGACATTAGTCAATGGCATACACCATTGTTTATTCCATAGTCCAACCTATAGGAAAACTTGTTAAACCCTCTTTGAGAGATGATTCTCCAGCTACTTAAAAACTTTCAGAAATGGAGAAATTCACAGCTTTTACAGAGTTCCACTATTGTACAGATCTTACCTTTGCTGTCTTAAAATCTAAATAGCTGTAACCTAACAGTGTATTAAGAAAGTATTCAGCCCCCCCTTTACTTTTGTCAGTTTTCTTATACTGCAACCTGATTTTACAGTCATTGAAATTCATTTATTTTCATTAATCTACTCTCAGTACCCCTTAATGACAAAGTGAAACCAGGTTTAGAAATGTGTAAATTTATTTTTTAAAAAAAACAAATATCACATTGGCATAAGCATTCAGACCCTTCACTCAGTACTTTGTTGAAGTACCTTTGACAACAATTACAGCCTAAAGTCTTTGGTATGACGTGACAAGCTTTGCACACCTGGATTGGGAGATTTTTTGCCGTTCTTGCAAGTCCTCTCAAGCTCAGGTTGGATGGCGACCATCGGTGAACAGCCATTTTCAGGTCCCTCCAGAGATGTTCAATAGGGTTCAAGTCAGGGCTCTGCCTGGACCACTCTAGGACATTCACAGAGTTGTCCCTAAGCCACTCCTGTGTTGTCTTGGCTGTATGCTTAGGATCTTTGTCATTTTGGAAAGTGGTCTGGCGTCCTGAGCTCTGTGGAACAGGTTTTCATTGAGGACATCCCTGTACTTTGCTCCATTCAGCTTTCCCTTAACCCTGACCAGTCTCCCAGTCCTGCTGAAAAACACCCCCACAGCATGTTGGTATGCCACCACGCTTCACTGTTGGGATAATATTGGGCAGGTGCTAAGCGGTGCCTGATTTCCTCCAGACATATTTAGAATTTAGGTCAAACAGTTCAATCTTGGTTTCATCTGACCAGAGAATCTTGTTCCTCACAGTCTGAGATTCCTTCAGGTGCTTTTTTTGCAAACTCCAAGTGGGCTTTCGTGTTTTTTTGCATTGAGAGGCTTCCATCTACCTACTCTGCCATAAAGCCTGGAACTCTGTCCCATCTCCACACAGGATCTCTGGAGCTCAGTCAGAGTGATCATCAGGTTCTTGATCATCTCTATTACTAAGGCCCTTCTTTCCCAATTGCTCAGTTTGACCGGGCAACCAGTTCTTGGAAGAGTCCTGGTTATGCCAAACCTCTTTCATTTGAGAATTATGGAGGCCACTATGCTGTTAGGAACCTTCAGTGCAGCAATTTTATTGTAGCCTTCCCCAGATCTGTGCCTTGCAATAATCATGTCTCTGAGCTCTGCAGGCAGTTCCTTTGACCTCATGGCTTTTGCTCTGCTACAGTATGCATTGTCAGCTGTGAGGCCTTTTATAGAGAGGTGTGTGCCTTTCCAAATCACGCCCAATCAATTTAATTTACCACAGATAGACTCCAAACAAGGTGTAGAAACATGTCAGCAAATGGGAGGCACCTGAGCTAAATTAAATTTCAAATGTTGCAAAAGGTCTGAATACTTACCCCACAATCGACAAAAGTGAAGGGTGTCTGAACGCACTGTGTATCCATTATTTTTGATTCCAGTTTCTGTGGCCGTGGAAAATGGATTTTGACTGTCTTCCCCTTATGTATCTTTCCTCAGTTTTTTCCAGACTAAATATATCATGTTCCATTAGCATATCCTCATAGGATATATCCTCAGGACCCTCTATTTTTGTTGCCTTTCTCTAAACTCTGACTTGTCCATATTGTGGAAATTGCCCAGAATCATACATAGTATTCCATAAGTGATCTTAGAATGGCCATATGTTTTTGTATATAATTAGTATATACATATACAAGTATTTGTACATACTAATATTTTTTACATTCCTGAACATCTACATTAAAAAGATATTCCACTCCTTACTCAGCTTAGCTATCATCTTTTAAGAAAATCCAAGTCTTATCTTTTACTGAAAGTGAAACTCATGGGATTAAAACTATTGTTTCTGGTCATATGTTTTTCAATACAGATAGTCCTCATTATACAGCCATTCATTTAGTGACCATTTGAAGTAGTAGTAGTAAAAAAATGATTTATGACCTTTTTCACAGTTATGACCATTGCAGCATTGCCACGATCATGTGATCAAAATTCAGACAGTTGGCTAATGACTTGTATTTAGTACAGTTGCAGTGCCCCAGGTCACTTTTTGCGACCTGACAGAGTCAATGAGGAAGCCAGATTCACTTAATAACCACGTTACTAACTTAATGACTGCAATGATTCACTTAACAACTATGGCAAAAAAAGATTGTACAATGGGGCAAAATTCAATTAACTGTCATGCTTAGCAATGGAAATTTTGGGCTTAATTGTGATTATAAGTCAAGGACTACTTGTATACATCTGACAGCAGACCGTAATCCCTTAAAATTATGCTATAATAACTATTTTTTGTTTTTAAGTTGCCAAAAATATTTCTTAGTGTCATTAATCTTGTTTGTGGAGAAATTTTACAGTGAATTCACAATTATAGTCGAAAAGGGCAGAGTAATTTAAGGTATTTTATATGTTACTGAGATTTGAATATCTATGTAGCTTTCAGAGGTCCTTTCTGAAATCCAAGTACTCCCCATCCCCCCCATTTTTATTTTTTTTTTGCAAATAAATGTTGTCATTATCTTAAGTATATTAGATATATTCAGCAGAATATAAATCTCTAATTGAGGGTGAAGGTTCGTTCTCCGAGCTTCTGGCTTGGATTCTGAATGTTTCATTACCAGGCTAGGTAACATCTTCAGAGTTTAGTGAAGCCTGGCACTCCATCAACAGACACATTGACCTATAACCAGCCTACAAACCCCTCAGAATCCAAATCAACCACACAGCCAACCAGAGACAACACCGGCCCTCAACCAACCTATGCAAGCCCCCCTCCCATCGGCAGTTCACCTCCCAATGACCCTGGCCTGATGTAACCTCTCCATCACAAGACCCATCACAAGTCTCTCACTGATGACTCACACCTAACCCACTCCCCTCCCACCAACAGCTTACCTCTCAATGATCCTGACCTGATGTAACCTCCCTATCGCAAGCCTCTCACTGATGACTCCTATCTGACCCATCACAAGACCCTCACTTGACACACCCACACCTGAAGCCCTTATAAACAGAACACTGACACTGACATCCCCTAAACTCTGAAGATGTTTCCTAGCCTGGTAACGAAATGTTTGGAAACCAGTCCATAAGCTTGGAGAACGAACCTTCACCTTCATCCTACACCCCAGCTACAGATATTTGCCACTATTGCAAAGACTCTAATTTTTAAATGTATTTTTAAATTAAAATGATTCCAGCTCTGAATGACATCTTAGGTTACAAACTGTTATAAAACTTAAATTTTCAGAAACCATTCATATTGAAAGACAATGAACAAATGCTATTATACATTCCTTTTTTCTGTGTTTCTGTGAAAACCATCAAGAGAGAATGCAGTAACACACACACAGAGATGCTGATTTAGGTAATTTTTGGATTTTGCCAAAAATACTTACTGTAGATTTACTTACATTGGATACGAATGAATATACTAAGTTCCCTTTTCTCCTCCTCATAACTAGATGCAATTGTATAAGAACACTGCATGGTACAACCTTTAATTCCTGAACTTGTTAATATGAATGTATGGTTGCACGACAGAGAAATTTCTTGACATTGGGAATATAGTAAGCAGGGAAGCTAATTTTGTCATCCATGCAGTTAATAGCTCTTGGAGAATAGACTCGCTTGTATTTAATGTATATATTTCTTACATTGCAGGATTCAGTTTATAATTTCTTGTGGCCTTGTTTATTTAATATTCTGTACAGTGTGATTTTTGCAGCAATTCAAAGCCATGTTTCCGAACTTGGGCAACTTTTAGGATGTGCAGATTTCAACTATTAGAATTCTTAGCAATGACCATTTTTGGGGTGGTGGAATTCTGGGAATTGACTTACACACATTTTAAATTTTCCCAGTTTGGGAAACATTGGCTTAATGGATATCACAAGATTTCATGCTTGTACATCCCATTCCCTTTGAATTACCATTATATCAAAATCACCATTTGAAAGAAACTATTACTGAAGTGCTAAACCCTTTATAAATATTATTGATATTCAGTTTTTAAGGAGTCACTTGAATTTGCTATCTTTGTTGCAACAGCCAGAATAAATTTCTTCTGGGTTGTTCCAATTGAATAAACTGTATGTGGCCCATTATCCTAAAAATATCTCTTTCCACTCAATTGAAAATAATACATATTCTAACTCAGTCTTAGGGATTTTAAATTTTGCATAATAAAAAGCTACTTCTATTCATGTAGAATCTCACACTTAAAAAGTTCACCAAAATTACATTGATCATGTTCAGTATTGTATGTTCCTAGAGAGGTTTACTAAACTGATTTTTTTTTCTTTACAGTTACTGACCAGCATTTTATACTGGTAAACTGTTTAAAGAGTTTATATAGCAAACAGCCTTTTTTTTTTTAGAACCTAGCTGATCCTATTTGAGTTTTGGAGCTAAGTCAAGGCAGACCAAATTTGCATTTGGATGGCAGGCAGCCAGAGAATCCCATGTCTGAAAGTTGGAGTGGGAAGTCCAAAGGTAATGGCAATGAACTTACCGTAACTATTGTTGCCAAGAAAACTGGTTTTGTCTACATAATCACCAGGAATATGGCTTGGCTTGAGGGCAATTTTGATTGTTTATACAGTGCCTTAGCAACAACTGCTCACACAAGCAGGTAGGCCTGTGGTGGGGAATAGAAAGTAGGGAATCTAGCTCAAAAGACAGGAGATACTTTAAGACCAGGGTGGGCAACTGTGGCCCTCTTACAAGCTGTGGACTTCAACTCTCAAAATTCCTGAGCCAGCCACTTCTCTGTTGCAGTAACTAAGTTTTGGAATATGGTAATGAAAACTGGACTTTTTATATTTTATTTAGCATTCTCTGTATTCATGTAGGGAGCAAATGCACCTATTTAGTCACCTTGAAATCAATCTTTTTTTTTTGTCTGTGTAGAGGGGAAAATTATCTTAGATGAGGATGAAAAACTAAAAAGATGGAAGGAATATATTGAAGAACTTTTTGAGGACACTAGGGATGATATAGATATGGGAAGTATAACAACTGGACCAAACATCACTATGGAGGAGGTTGAACATGCAATAAAAATAGCAAAAACAAGAAAAGCCACAGGACCTGATGATATCCCAGTAGAAATTTTAAAATTGCTGGAAGACAATGGGAAGAATTTTTTACTGCAGCTCTTCAATCGAATATATGAAACAGGAAAGATACCAAATCATTGGCTAACATCAACCTTTGTGACAATCCCCCAAAAAATAAATGCAAAGAAGTGTACCGAATACAGAACAATAAGCTTAATGAGTCATGCCCTGAAAATATTCCTGAGAATAATTCACACAAGAATATACAACAAAATTGAAGAGCGTCTAGGTAACACACAATTTGGTTTCAGAAACAATCTTGGTACACGAGATGCACTATTCAGCATTCAAGTTCCTGTACAGCATTGTAGAGATGTCAGTCACAGTGTTTACATGTGCTTCATTGATTTTGAAAAAGCATTTGATAAAATAAGACACAGCACAAACTATTAGAAATCCTGAAACAAGGGAGACTAGATGACAAAGACATCCAAATCATAAAGAATCTATACTGGCATCAGGTAGCAAATGTGAGACTAGGCCAAATAAGCAGAAATATGAAGAGGGGTCAGACAGGGATGTATTCTGTCTCCACTGTTGTTCAATATCTACCCTGAGTCAATCTTCAACGAGGCACTGAAAAATATCGATGCTGGCATCAAAGTAAACGGTGTTTGGATCAACAATTTAAGATACGCTGATGATACAGTTCTGCTTGCCAATAAGCATGAAGACCTTCAGCTCATCAACAGAGTCACAGAAATAGCTGAAAAATACAGCTTGAAGCTTAACACCTCAAAAACCAAGATTATGGTCATCAGCAAACAACCCGTTAATTTTCCAATAAATTCGGAAGGAATACCATTAGAAAAAGTTGAAAGGATCACGCGCCTCGGTTCTAATTTACATAAAAGCTGGGACATGACCACTGAAGTAAAGACAAGGATAGAGAAAGCTCGAACAGCATTCTTCAAAATGAAAAAGGTCTTCTGCAGTCACGATATAAGCCTAAGATTGAAAATCAGGTTTGTCAGATGTGGTATTTTTTCTATCCTGCTCTATGGAGTAGAGAGTTGGTCTCTGACAGAAGGCCACCTGAAGAGACTAGAAGCATTTGAAATGTGGATTTACAGGTGGCTGTTACATATAAGCTGGATTGACAAAATCAGAAATGAGGAGGTGATAAGCTGCCTGGGAAAGCCAAGGGAAATCATCAAAACAATTAAAAAATGAAAGTTAGAATATTTCAGACATGTGATGCGACACCCAGAAAAATACGGCATACTCCATTTAATCCTCCAGGGAAAGATTGAAGGCAAACGAGGTCCAGGCAGAAGAAGATCATGCCTTCAAAATCTAAGGGACTGGTTTGGACAAAACTCAGCAGCACTTTTTCGTGCAGCTGCTGATAAACAGGATCGCCAACATGATCTCCAATGTCCGATAACAGATATGGCACAAGAAGAAGTCTGTGTATGCCTCTTTCTTAAAGTACGGTCCATTGAATTCTTGGAGGGATCTTCAAAGTTCTTCCCAGAGTCTGTGAAATCTAAATTATTTGCCAGATGCTGAAGATGCAAACATTTTTAAACCTCAACACTTCTCGTTTTTCAAAGTTTTCATGAAAAAAATGTATTTAATGGTTTTATATTATTATTACATAAGTCAGTAACTACATTCTACAAATGCAACTTTTAATTTTTATAGGATAAACATTGAGGAATATAACCCATACAAACAAAATCTCTTTCGGGGTTTTTTCGTAATATTTAGGGGTCCTGATTAGTGAAGTTTCGGAAACACTGGTCTACGCTTTCTTGGAGGACAGTGTGGTGATAGTTTTAGCTTTTTAACTCTTTTAAGCTGTACTTCCACACAAACGGATTTTCTACAGAAAAGGCTTCTAAACTGGAACCGAGTACACGAAGCCCAGGCAAGCAAGCCCCGCTCACCACAAACGGTTTCCCGGAGGAAAACAAAACGCTTGAAGAAGATACGCATGCGCGGCCGCCGCACAGCGAACCACGCGCCGAGTAAACAGCCCCGTCACGTGAACGCGGCCTCCGCAAGTCGCTGGCCCGCCTGCCTCCTTCCTCTCTCTTTCCCCACCTCTCCCGCTAAGTGAGCTTTAGAAGGCAAGCGTGGGCAGCCGCCCGAAGGGGCAGCAAGCGCCGCGTGCGACAAACGGAAAGAACTACTTCCTCGCTCCGGGGAGGGGAGGGGAGGAGAGGAGGAGGGAAAATGGGCGGAGGAGAGGGAGAGCGAGAGAGGACAGAAGAAACCCGGACGTGCTTCCTGAAGCCAGCCAAGCACTAACAGCCACCCGCTCTGTCTCCGCCCCCTTCCAGCCCTCCCTCGTGCCCTTCCACTTCCGCACGGCAGCCTTCCTCCCCTCCCCTGGCCTGGGAGGGTTGCGGAGCTTAGAAGAGAGAGACGTAAGAGAGGGGAGGAAGAAGAAGGAGAAAAAAAAAAAAAAAGAAGTCCCAGTCCAACAGCCACCTGGCCAAGCGAGGGAGCGCGAGTCCCTGGCCAACACAGGTAAATATGTCGTCTTTGGGCGGTGGCGGCGGGGGCTAGATTCGCGGCCTACGAAGGCGAGCTGTCTCGGGGTGCCTGTTGACGGATTGGGGCCTGCGATCGTCGCCTCTATTCCACCCCCCCCCCCACCTGCCCCGTCCACCCGCGGCAATGAACCTCGGCCCGAACGTTCAAGATCCGGGGCTTCTCCCCACTGTTTGTCTCCTGCTGCTATGCCTCCAACCGGCCTTCCCTCCTTTCTCCCTTGGCCTTTTCCCTGGCCCCGCCCCTTCGCTCGGGCGCGCTGCCTACCGGTGCGCCTGGGCCTTGGGGCCCCTCCGAGCGGCCGTGGCCCCCCCGCGAGGTGATTGGGCTGGAATTGGACGGCCCGTCTGGGACTGCGGGGAGTTGTTTCTGCACCTGAAGGGACCGCGCATTGATCGGTCTTGGCACCTCAGGCCCAGCCCCCTTGCGTGGCACACCTCTGCGTGCCATGCCTTAACGATCTCAACTCCCGACTTGCCATTTCTGGTTTGCCCTAATCCTAGTTTGGCCCCAGTCATTTTGGGTAGGTAACATGGAGCGATCATTTGTTCTGAACTGATGACGGCGGTTGGCGGGATAAGGGAAAGTAGCAACTTGGGTAACTGAAGCAATACTTTTTTTTTGGCTTGAAGGAGCTTTCGGAATTAATTGGGTTTTGCCCTCAGATTAGCTTGCGTGGGTAGAACTCTTAAGCTCTCAATCATTAGCCTGCTTATCTTCAATTGATTTAATGGGTCTAGAACAGACCTCCCAAATTTGGTGCTGGGGAGATGTCTTAGAACAGTGGTTCTCAACCTGTGGGTCGGACCCCATTTGGGGTCGATCGACCATTTCACGGGGGTCGCCAAGCAAGGCTGTCCGCCATTTTTTTGTCCGCCATTTGTTTTGTCCACCATTTTTCCCCCTTTTCCGGCGGGTGCCTTACCTCCCTTGGGCTGGGCCAGCTGGTGGTCAGCCTGCTCCGTCTCTGCCGCTTGCCAGCTACGCCTCGGCCGGCGCAGGGGGCGGAACCACGCATGTGTGGCGCTCCCAGGCAGGGAAAGTCCTCAACTTATGACCGGTTGGGTAGTCCTCGACTTATGACCGGTTTAGTCCTCGACTTACAACCGGTTTAGTCCTCGACTTACGACCGGTTGGGGTCGCGGCATTAAAAAGGTTGAGAACCACTGTCTTAGAACTCTCATGCCCTTCCCTGCCAGAATGGTCCAGATCTGACTCTGAATCGTTGGGAGTTGAAGTCTGTCATATTTAGAGGATGCCGGCTTTGGGAGATGCAATCTAGAACTTTGGTCATGTCCCAGAGTCTTCACTTCATGGGAACTGCTCTGGCTCATTTGACTTTGTCCAGGAACATGTGCTCCACAGATGGGACAAAAAAAAAAAAGTCTTCTGTTGCACTTTAATAATGTTTTGTGCGAGTAACAGGGTACAGGTAGTCCTTGACTTATGACCACATTTGAGCCCAAAATTGCCACTGCTAAGTAAGGAAGTTGTTAAATGAGTTTTGACTCATTTTCCAACCTTTCTTGCCATAGTTGTTAAGTGAACTACTGCAGTTAAGTTAGTGACATGCTTGTCAAGTGAATCTGGTTCCCCATTAACTTTACCTGTCAGAAGGTCACAAAAGGTGATCACATGACCCGGGACACTGCAACCATCCTGAATACATGCCAGTTGCCAAGTGTCTGAATTTTGATCATGTGACCATGGGGATGCTGCAGTGGTCAGATGTGTGAACAATGGTCATAAGTCACTTTTTTCAGTGCTGTTATAACTTTGAACAGTCACTAAATAAATTGTTGTAAGTCGAGGACTACCTGTTTTTTTTTTTAATACATGTGTCCCTTTTTAATGTATATGAATCTTTCATGTTTTGTGGAAAACATAAAATGGCAATAAGGCTTTGTAAAATGGCTTAAGTTCAGATTTTCTGTGGAAGACATTGGGTCAACCATGGGGGCCAGTATGAATAATCCCACCCCCCAGCTGTTACTGAATTGTTATTAATATCCTGGCAGCCTGTTAATGCCATTTCCCTTCTCCATCTCCAGGAATATTCTCAGATATTGCAACAAGCAAATATATGCTTTACACTTTCTCAGGGATATATTTTACTTAAATTTGTAATTTTTAAAATTGCTCAGCCTCAAATGTATTACAGTATGAAATCACTATAATTTTCAGACTGACTTTATAGTTTCTTAATTCTTGCTCATTTTGTGTTTTCATGTTTTGTAGTTTCATGTAATGGGTATTCCGAGTAATGGTTATAAACATATGGACAGCTGGTTGGTATTATCTTTCAGCCATGGTGTTATCTTGGGTCAGCTTTTATGATTTGTAAACTATTGCAAAAACATAGATAACTTGTGAATATGGTAGTATGATTATCTTAGGTTACAATTCTTATAGTCTTTCTTTTTATTTATACCAATGTATTGCTAAAAATTCACTGAAATTTATTCCAAATAAACCCAATTGAATTTGTAATCTTGGTGTGATTTGTCTGATCTGAAATTGGAAGACAAAGTTTTTCAGAAACATTGAAATGTAAGCATAGGAGTATTGAATATATTTCAACAATACTGTAGATGTGAGAATTACTGCTATAACACATTTTAGTGATCATATTGATAGCATTTGCTGATTTTTAAAAATTGTGCACATGCTGTAGGTGTTGATGGTTTCATTTTATTAAATAACTTATTCTGTGTTAAATTTAGGGCTGTTTAGTTGACTGTTCAGAGTCATTGCTTTGGTTCAGGAGGGTGGAGGTCCTAAATATTAAAAAGTTTTGATAAAATATCAATTTTAGAAAAGGTGGAACTAGTTTTGATATCAAATTAATTTAAGATACAGATAGTCCTCAACTTATGATGACAATCGAGCCCAAACTTTTTTTTAAAAAGTATTTTATTGGTTTTCTATCATTACAATTTATTTGTGCTTAATAAACAACATGTTGTCTGGGTTAAATTTTGCCTAGTCATAAAAATTAAGTTCTTACTCTCTATCCCACTTTTCCAACCATTGATAAAATAAGTTCCATGTTTGAAAGTTGTATCTTCTTTTCCTTTGATTCTCAACGTGAGTCTGTCCATTTCTGCAGAGTCCAATATTTTCTTAATTATCGCTTCCTCCGATGGTGTTGTCTCATTTTTCCAGTGTTGCGCAAATACAATCCAATTGACCCCAAAATTTCTGTTGTTAAGTGAGACATTTGTTAAGTGAGTTTTGCTCTATTTTACAACTTTTTTGCCACAGTTGTTAAGTGAATCACTGCAGGTGCTAAGTTAGTAACATGGTGAAGTGAATCTGACTTCCCCATTGACTTTGCTTGTCAGAAGGTTGCAAAAGGGATCACATGACCCCAGGACATTGTAACAGTCATAAATATGAATCAATTGCCAATCGTCTGAATTTTGATCATGTGACCTTGGGGATGCTGAAATGGTCATAAATGTGAAAAATGGTCATAAGTCACTTTTTTCAGGGCTGTTGTAACTTCGAACGGTCACTAAATGAACTGTTATAAGTTGAAGACTACCTGTTCAATTTTTTTGCCAGCTATTTTTAGGATGTCTATAAAAGTACTATTTTGTCTAAGAATGTTTCTGTTTTTATGTAGTTGATCTTTGGTATTATTTCTCAGTTATCAGTTTCATCTTTCTGTACAGTTTAATAGCAATTAACTTCTGTTTTTCTGCTCTGCTTCTGTTCTGTGACTTTAATAGCCTCTTGCATATTTTTGAACCTCTGTCCTTTTTGCCTTGTCAGTGGAGAAGTTGAAGAGTGCCTTTCATTGCATATTATGGTTTCATTTTTAAATAGAATGAGAATATCTTCTTGCACACATTATCTATGTGCCATACCTATGGCATAAGGGAATGTGCACTCAATGCATTCTATAGTTAGATAACCCCTTTTATCCTTAAGAATTCAACTTTTGGGGTCTCAACTAATAATTAAGCAGGTGTATTTTCAGACAGTACTTCTTAAATATGTGTATTTCATTCTGGTTTTATGATGTTAAGGATCATTTTTTTCTTGCCTGAGATCTACAGTCAAGTAAAAAAGTAAATTGATTTTTTAAAACTTTTTTTAGTATATTTCAACATACAGATATTTTCGTCTTCATTCAACAGTATTTATTAAATTTATATGCTGCCCATCTCATTGTTGAAGCAATCTAGGTGGTATACTTTTTCCAAAAACAAATGGCATACTGTACAGTATCTATTAATTTTTTATTGAATAAATGATTGCAAGGTCATTTTTTTTACTTCAGTTGCATCACTTTTACTTTTAATGCTGTTTGAATGAACATTGACACATCCACATATCAAAAGAAAAAAAAGCTGTATACGGACTGTACTTGTTTTCACAACCGTAGATTAAACAAAACTGCAAACAATAGATTAAACAAAACAAAATTGTTGTTAGAAGAGGATGTTTTCCTCTTGGCAATTCTCCTCTTAGATACCCTAAAAGTTTGATAAATCCTCATTGGAAAGTTTTGAGTGTACGTGGCATTGTTCTTTTCCTCTTCCTTCAGTAGAAACTGCCCCCACTGACAGAAGCATATTGTTGAGAGTGGAATATGAATTTGTGGAAGCAAGTCTGTGCTACAGATAAAATGTTTTTCTACATGTTTGAGAGCTCTTCACTTGGGAGAACTGTACTATTTACATAAGCAGCATTCTCAGTTTGGCAATCAGATGATAAGTATTTATGGTGGTATATTAGTTTCTAATATGCACTGTATTTCATTATTTGATTTCCTGGTTCTTGGTTATTATTTTACTGAGAACAGTGCTGCATAAATCTTTTAAGGAAATTGTGTTAGATTTTCATTGTTGAGTTATGAAAGCTATGCATTGCATTTAGCAATAGACTTGAATCTATTGACCTCTGCAGCCTAAATAAAAGGTACACATTTTCCCTTAAGGACATGTCTGGAAAATAATTATCCTAAT